TTTTTATTTTGTTTTTCTGTTTCTATGTGTAGTGATGATGAATACAGTTCAAACTCAAATCTCATATCTTTCCATTTACTTGGTAAAACTGTTATATTAGTCTGATATTCATTCCAAAGTGGGAAGTCGGATTTTATTTTTTTCATGGTACATCCCGGAAATCATCCCAATAAACATGGAATGCAGGATGTTACGATGGGTAACTGATATTTAGGTATTCACTTAATTACATATTGTCTATTAGATACATACATAATTATTTATTTGTGAATGGTGAATTTGCAATTTCTTCAATTTTGTGTGGGATAAATAAAAATTTCCCAAAGAAATATGGATTGTACCAAGAGAAATTCAAGAAGAATATACACAAATGGCCTTAGACGTGGCCAATTGGCAGGCCGGGTTGTGGCCCGGTCATGTCGGGCCGGTGGGACTCAAATTCATGGCCCGTGACTTGTCCGCCCATTTAATATGAACTGCCGGTTCACCGACTCGGCGGGTTCTGGGCGGTTTTAGATCAGTAAGGCCCATTAAAAAAATATAGTAACAATAACATTGCGGCCTGTCTTTCAACCCGCGGCCTGACCCGTACCGAACCGACGAGACAAAAAGAAAATTATGAGGACCGAACCGTCACCCTAAGATCCGGTTCAACGAACCAGCCCTTAGGAGGCCGGTTCAAGGTTGGTCTGGGATCGGTTTTGGGCCGAGTCGGCCCTAAACGGCCTCCATGTGGAGTCCGAAACCTAGCCCAAATGTGAATGTATGTATGCTTGTAGAAGCATAACTACATAAGAAATTGAAATAATAAATAGAAAAAAGGGAAACAAAGGTAAAAAAATGGATGCTTGGAATCAGAGTAGATGGATCCACTCTTTCCTCTACCTTTTTCTGGTTTCCCTCTCCGTACACTTTCTTCACACACTCTTCATCTCCCCAAAACTCGCCATTAATCATCATCAATATGCTAGAATCAAGAAAATGGCGCCCACTCCACTGCGCTTTCGCGCCGATGGGACTTTCAAAATCCTCCAGGTAAAGCGAAATAATGAGAGAGAGGAAAAAACCAAAATCGAATCGCTTACCCAGGTCGTGTGAAGCTAATGAATTGTTGATGAGTGTGTGTGTGTGTGTGTGTGTGTGTGTGTGTTTCACTTGTTTTTATTGCTATTTTTTGGTAGGTGGCCGATATGCATTTCGGGAATGGGAAGTTGACTCGGTGCCGTGATGTACTGGAAACCGAGTTTAATCACTGTTCCGATTTGAACACGACTCAGTTTCTCGAGAAGATGATCCAGCTCGAAAGCCCTGATTTTATTGCATTTACTGGTAACAACTCGTTCTTGCTCTAATGGATGTTATTCTGAGAAAGAATTTGCGCTTGAAACTCATGGTTGGATTTTGCACAGAACAAACAGTAGTAAGGGGCACAAGAATTTTAGTGTTGAAAGGAACAGTTGAGATTTGCTTTGCATATGAGATTCGAGATTATGTGGGAAACCTTATTTGAGTTTTGGGAATGTGGTTAGTTGTAAAAATTCATGTTCGTTTGATTGGACATTAAAATAGTCTGGACAGTTTGTCTCTGAAGGTTGCTTTGGAGACAGTAAAACAGAAAGCCCATCTCCTTGTAATGCATCACAATTACGTTAGAGTTTATCTTCGTCGTTCTCGTTCAAGTTGGTTTTTCTTTTATGCACTCTAAGAGTAAGATGCACAAGTAGGATCATATGTACTTGTTTATTCATAGAGCAAGAGTTCACATAATTACTCTTTTCAAGTGTGCATGAATACATAAATGTGCCAAAGAAATACAAGAGACTACGGTTTCTGAAGAGTAGGTTTGTTTGTTACTGCAGAAATTGTCATCCCGTGTTGCGTTTTCTCATGCTTTTGATGTTTTCTTTCTCTTGTTGCAATAATTTGGATCTTGGAGAACTGTTACCAGTTGGAAAAATTGTGGCTTACTAATTATGTCACCATGATCAGGACATATGACTCATTTTATGCAAGGGTTTTTTTATTGTTTTCTATGTTTTTGGGCTAGGCTTGATGTTTTTATGGTTTTAGTTATTGTATTGAAGAAACTAGTTTATGTTTTGCTGTATGGAGAAGTACCGAACTGAAAAGTATATTAATTTCTCATTGGCAGTTCTTGCCTGTTGTGCTCTCAAGTGCAATTGTTTCTTGTTCTTTTTTCCTTTTCATATTTGTTTTCTGATCTTTTCGAGTTTTTCAACTCAGGAGATAACATATTTGGCTCGAGCGCAACTGATGCTGCCGAGTCTCTATTCCAAGCTTTTCAACCCGTTATAAAATCTGGGGTTCCTTGGGCTGCCATTTTAGGGAATCACGATCAAGAATCTACCATGACACGTGAGGAGCTGATGTCTTTCATCTCCCTCATGGATTTCTCTCTAGCACAAACCTCTCCATCAGCTGAAGATAACTCCAATTCCTTAAAAAAGAACCTGATTTCCAAAATCGATGGATTTGGAAACTATGATTTGAGAGTATTTGGTGCTCCGGGTTCCAGTCTAGCAAATAGCACTGTCCTCAATCTTTATTTTCTCGATAGCGGGGACAGAGCTACTGTCAATGGAGTCCGAACTTATGATTGGATTAAAGAATCTCAACTTAATTGGCTTCGCCGTGTTTCTGATAAGGTTAAGGTGAGCATGCTTGTATTGTAAAGGATTTATGGTTTAATATTATCAGAGATCTAAGTCTGAATGTTCACCACTAATGTGAAAGAGTAATATAAACAAAGAAAGTTACAATTTCATAATTACAAATACCTCGTTCAAGGTATAGTGAATTATCAAAAACATCCTCCATCTTTTAATAATTCAAGTGTCCTCACAGGGTTTGTAATCACCTTATTACTAATGCTCGACTGAAAAAATACTTTACGTGAGAACAAACTTTACTATGTCATTGTTTGTAGTTTTGTGAATATAAATTGGGTTTTTTCTGCAACTGGATTAAAAAAGCGCATTTACTTTTTCTTAAGATGCAGTAAATCGTGAAACGAACGATAGGCCCTCGTTCTCTATCATTACATAATATTATTAACACTATTCAGATGACACGCTAAATGCAGGAACAAGATCGAGACAGCAAAAACCCATCATCCCCTCCTTCACTGGCCTTTTTTCACATCCCAATACCCGAACTCAGACAAGGGCCTATCTACAACTTGGTGGGGAATTACAGAGAGTACGTTGCGTGCTCTCTTGTCAACTCTGGTGTGCTTGACACGCTCGTCTCTATGGGAGACGTGAAGGCAGTGTTCATAGGCCATGATCATAATAACGACTTTTGTGGGACTTTAGGGGGCATTTGGTTCTGTTATGGCGGAGGTTTTGGGTACCACGGTTATGGGCTTGCCGGGTGGCCAAGAAGGGGTAGAGTTATAGTGGCAGAACTTGGGAAAGGCGAGCATTCGTGGGGTGGGGTCGAGAGGATTAAGACATGGAAAAGGCTTGATGACGAGAGCTTGAGCAAGATTGACGAGCAAATTCTTTGGGAGGGAGAGGCTTGCTAGAGTTTTGTGTGTATGTTGCAAATTCGCATTTCTTGTATTTGTTGGGATGAGGCACATATATTTTTTTATTTTTATTTTTTTTCTCTGTTGATACCTAATAGGGAGGAGTTTCTGATGATTGAGAGCATGTGCTAATGCTTGTGATCTGGTGTGGCCTACCCTCGAAGAATTCTAGTTTCGTAGTTCTGGGCCATTAGCCTCCTTTGTACCAAAAATAAAAAAATTTCATAGTTCTGGGCCATTAGCCTTTTTCTTTGTACTTAAAAATAAAAAATGCTTGTGATCTGGTCATTTATTTTCTGTTCAATATAGCTTTCCAAATAATTGAAGTCTGGAAAATGTAATTCACCAACTCAATAGTATTGCAACACAAGAAGTCGAATTAAAATGGGACTGCAAAGTTTCTACACCTAAAATTAATCAAATTAAATTGTGTACGTTTTGGCTCCATTTTTTTTTTTTGTCTTGATTTTTTATTATTTTAAGTTGGGCTATGCAAAACTACACCAAACTCCAAAAAAAAAAAGAAAAGAAAAGAAAAGAAAAAAAAGAAAAAGAAAAATACAAACAAAGGAACTTGTGAAAAAAATGCTACACAAAAACCGAATTGACTCTTAAAAAAAAAAAATAATAACTTAGCCTAACTGCAACAAACTATACGATTTAGCTCGATTTTTTGGTCACCTAGGTGGACTAAAAAATGCTGCAACTTCAACCATATCATTAGTTACTAAGTCACGTATCCATGCGATGCACGAGACAAAAGTATTAAATTAGTTATTTTTACAGGCCTATGTGCGTTTAAGTCTAAAAAGCAAAATTGTTATAATCTATTTTCCAAGTCTTCTAATCAGCGTTGAGTCTAAAGAATAATAGGGTTATAATCTATTTTCCAACTCTTTTAATCAATGTTGTATTTTTAGCCAGAACATTAAATATGAGCATGTAAGGGCTAGCTTGTAAAGTAGTTAATATATTATCGCACTAACATATTTATACTAATACAAATGAGATTATAGTATATATATTTATTCCTACATAAAAGAGACCATAATAGTTTAATTATTTTTGTTCACCATATAATACTTATTTATTATTTTATTATAAGTTTGTTGTCATATAATATCATTATTATTTATAAAAGGTATATAAATGGTATGTTTTCTTTTTTTTTTTTATGTAAAGAAAAATATTTAATGCACACCAGTATTATTTATTTATGTAATCAATTTAAGATATGTAAATAAATTTAAAATTGAATAGTGTATAAATATTTTACAAAATATACACACATGTTTTTTAGAATCTAATTTTATACTACTTAAACAACTTTATTTAGAAAATGCCAAAAACTCAATCCCTTCTATAATCAAGTTTTTTTTTTTAATTCGCATCATAAGGAATTTTAGTTTATTTAATATACTTTGCAATGAAAATATATTTTACAAGAATCTTATTATAGAAATAAATTATAATAAGAAAATGATAAAAAATAATCATGGTTGCCAATAATATGCAAATAAATTCTAAAAAGCAGCTAATATATTTCAATTTGAATTTTTACCATTAGTAAGACTATTTACTTTATATGGTCATTATGTCTTAAATTTTAAATTATATTGATTTGAAGAATAATTTTTTATTTATATATAACGAAATAAAGCTTAAGAAAAAATTTATTGGCAAATTAATTCTCCAACTTGATTTCGCCTATTAATTGGTTCTACCTAACTTGTTACGATTTTCTATAAATATTTTTGATAAAAAGTGAATATTATGATTAGAACTTAAAATATGTTATACTAATATTTATTTTGACCAAAACATTATTAACAAAATTACGAAAAATCAATCTTCTAATTTATTATAATGAATATCAATGGAATTATTGTAAATATTAATAAAATTATTTAAGAAAACAATATTTTTTATCATATCTGATTTTATCTTATTTGAAAACGTGTATATTTTCTTTTTCTGAAACAATAGATGTATTATATATAATCGAACAAATGTACAAAAGAGCAGCCACATGCTGAATACAAACAACTAACCGCTGAATATGAACAGCCAACAACTGAATAAAGTGGGAGGACAGTAAAAAACCGCCTAGAGCCGATCCCAACGGGGTAATACTCGCTAACACATAAAATACTAACACACAAAAACTACTAAACTAAAAAGACCCCAACAGGGGTAATACCCGAGTGTCGGCTCCCAACAGGAGAATATGGTGACACTCGGGCTAACCGGGGCCAATGGCCCAAACCAAAATCACAATCCTAAACAACACTAATAAGAGAAACGAAGACCAGCCAAAATAACACATAAACAAAATAAACGGGAGCCCTTCCCACAGCAAAAAACCACTTCGAGCACAACAACGACAAATTCTCGGTCCAGGATACTGACCCAGAAACTGCAAGAGAACGCCTAACTGAATCAAGAATCTGCTGACCTTACCTTCGTCCAGACGAACAACTCCACCGACACCCGAAGACAAAGACACCTGGCCAACAAGCCCAACCCGTCCCAGCCCAGCCCGACCCAGCTGAGCCTAGCCCATAGCAACTCAAGCCAGCCCAAACCAGCCCGAAGAAGCCCAGCCCAACCAATCCATAACCAGCCCAACCAGCACAGAAGCCCAACCATACGATCTCAGGCAACTGCTACTCCAAAGCACCACACCCACCTGATCGGCGACCGCGAGGCCAAGGATCAACACCCACCCTTCAATCGTTGTCCACCAAGCTCTGAACCAAGACCCGAAGAAGCCAATTGGTTGGAACCCTAACTCCATCCAAA